TGGAGAACAGGTGACTCGGCCATCGTCCCCATCCAGCAACGGGCTCTTCTTGGAATAGTCCCTGGTCTCCCGAGGTCACAGTCCTCCCGGGAAATGGGTCAGGACCCACGGGTTCAGTTGAGTAGGGATAGGGGTTGAAGAGGCTACCGACAGAGGTCAGTCGGTCAGTTCTGCTTGTTTCTGAGCTGGAGCCAAAAGCCAAGGAAAGCTTGGCCCCTGGGCCAAAGTCCCCAGTGTTGGATCTCCCTGCTCTGCAGAGGCCCCCAAAGAAGGACTCTGCCGCCTTCTGCCCGCGGGCGTGAGGCTCCGGGTGGGCCAGTGAAATCCTGGGATTTTGCTTGCCCTGTGCGCCTGCTGGGAAGGGGAGGGACTTTCAGGCGGAGGCGCAGAAGCCGCTTCCCACATCGCTTTGGGCTCCTGGGACCGTTCCAGCCCGTGTCCCTCAAGCTCGGCCCCTGAAGCTGCCCTCGCCTCCCTCCAGTACCCCAAGTATCTTTGGGTTGCAGCAGCTCTGCGCACTCTGGAGAGCACCGGAGGGCCACTTCCACCCCTCTGCTGAAGTTGCCGAAACAGCTGGAAGCACGTCTCTCCCAACTGGCCTTGGGGGCATCTCCTTGGCGTTGGGTTGGTTTGAGTTTGTGCTTGTTGCTGTGTGCCACCCAGAGTCCTCCAGGACTGGGGCTGGTCAGAAGCTCCATTAAAGAAAGAGATCCTCAAATTCCACACGCTGAAAACTGACTCATTTGCGCACAGGTGCATGGTCCTGTTGGCATGCCCACCTCTCCGAGGCGTCCCCAGATCCCCCTAAGCATTTGCCGTGCAGTTTCTAGGCTGCGCTTTGGAGCCATCAGGTCTAGAAACTTGTTCTTGTTTTGAAAGCTGCCTCTGTTAGGCAGCTGGTTTTTCTCCCATCCTTCGGTGTGGGAAGTGCTGTGGTGCAGAGGCCTTGGTGGCGTCTTTGAAGCAGCTCACAGCGCCACACTATGGAGAGGTTGAGAATTACAAACTCGGATGGAGAGGGATGCCGTTGAGTGGACAGGCCTCCCCACCGCCAGCTCCGTTGCACCACAGCTGGGTTAAAGCCGTAGCCTCTCCTTCTTAAAGTTCAGAATCAGCAGCACAGTCTACCTTAATTTAAGGGGTGGGGCGAAAGCATGAATTCCACCCTTGGTTTTCATTGGGAGTTCCCGGGCTGAAAGTTTGGTGGCTCTCTCTAATGTCTTTTGATTAAAAAGGAGCTTCACTGGTTTTGTTTCAAATTGATCTCAGTTGTGTGACTCCTTCACCTTCTCCTTCAACACACCAGATCTTTTTGTACATCTGAACATTCTGCGTGGGAATGATTTTACCGGGGGTCAGATTTTTAGAGGGTTTTCTTTGTTTACTGCAGCTTAGTCTTTGCACGGTGCCTGGGAAGGCTCGGTCTGCGAGGTGAACCCCGTAAATAAGCGATCATGGGGTAGCAGTGCTCCTCACCCTGAGCTCCAGACCTTCTGCCTTCTTCACGACAGCCCCTCATTTCCCTAAATAGATGCTCCCATCAATTCATCTGTTTTGCACACGCCTTCTGACTTGCCTGCTGTTTGGTTACTGGCTGCTCTTCCTGCAGAAAACCTTGTGGAGATTAACAGTTGGCCCTCCTGGACAGTTGGATGCAAAGGCAAATGCCGGCCACAGCTGCTGTTAAACACACTGGGAGCCTTTGATCTGCAGACCGCTGCAGGAAAGCAATTCAGTCCCTAACTGTTGAACTTAACTGCAAACTGCCAGGGACTTCTGGAGCTGGTAGCACTTGCGATCCAGTACACAAGACAACAGCCATGGTGGCTTGAGGGTCCCTTGTGGGAGGGTCCAAGGTTCTCTTGCCCACTGCGGGAGGAGGGGCAGCTGTGTTGGGGCAAAGGGGGCAGCTCCGTCCTCTGTGTTGAATGGGGAGGCCTGCAGTCCAGCGACACCCAGCCCAGCACTCACAACGCTGTGGATCTGGATGCAAGACAAGAGTGCCCTGGCCTAGGAGGGGGGCAGGGCAGACCTCCCCTGTCTCCAGGTGTGGGGGTGAGAGCTGTGACACATCTGGGGGAAGGTACAGGTTGGGGAGGTTAATTAATAGGGTTTTGAAAGAGGAGGGAGTCTTGCAGAGTCACGGGAAGAATGCCAGCCGTGCTGCGGGCCTTTGGCAAGGAGGGTTTCTCTGCCTGCTTCGCTCCACTTTGAGAGTTGATCGCCGTCTTTTCTCTCTTCCCTCTCCTAGGAAAGCCCCTGCAGATCAAGCCCAGGCTGTGATGCCCCTCCTGCCAAAATCAAGGTCTACCCAGCCACCAAGCTTTGGCTCGCTCTCTCAGGGATCTGATGCCACCCCGGCAACTACCTCAGGGCAACGCCATGCCAAAGCAGAGGGGGTCCAGCCAGGACCTTGTGCCCCCTCCAGCAAGGAGCGCCACGTGCACCAAGATCTCTCTGTCTCCTGCATCCAAAAGGGCAACTTTGTGGTTTTATTATTGCGAGAGAGGAGCTCTTGGCCGTCCCAAGCTCCAAATCCAGCTACTGAGACTGCAGCTTCTGGTCCTTCTGCTGGGAAAGTCTTGGTGGCTCCACCATTGGCAGCCTTTAAGGAGACCCTCCACTCACCTCTGAGCCCCCAAAGGCAAGCGGTCCCGAGAGGCCCAAGTCTTTAGCAGCGCCCCCTCTCTCTCTCTCCCGGGCATCACAAGAAACTGGAAGGCATCTTGGCTGCCAGGGCTTGGCTGCCCTGGCCGGTGAGCTACTACTGCCATTCGCTTTCCCTGACACTTGGTCCTGAGAGGCTGACACTTGGTCCTGAGAGAAATGAGATTTCTGGGAGGGTGAAAGTGGTTTCCCCTTTCTGCTCTGGAAAAAACCTTGGGGGTGGGCCACCTCCATTCTTTGCAAGCTTTCTTTAATAGTTAATGCCAGGCTTTGGACTCACAAGGATTTGTAAAGTAGACCTGTCTGGATGCTTTTATTACACAGATGCAAGCAAAATGTTTATATTTGTAGACATGGTGAATTCCTTATACGTGATTCAGGTCCTCACTGCGAAGGGAAGCATTTCATTGTTTGCTGCATTTTTAGCTCTTCTTTAACCTGCTGGGGGAGCCTTCTTGGCCTGGCTCTCGAGGTCAGCTCTCGTCCTCCTTCCACGGCTGACTGAGGTGGGTGCGGCTTCTGGAGCAAGCCCAGGTCCTTCAAGCAATACGCTCGCGCAAGGGGTGCCCTGCCTGGGCAGAGGAATGGCATGCTCACCCCCCTCCCCCTGTCAGGGCAAAGCAGGAAGCAGGGCCTTGGTCTTCTGAGGTTTTGGGGATAACTGGAATTACGGTTCGGACCTGGAGTCCTCTGATGAGGTTCGACTCGTTATTCTAGCAAGGGATGACTGGAGTTCGAGGACACGAAGGGGACGAAGCCGAGCTAGGTCAGAAGCCAGCATAGCTCTC